GAAAATTTACAGAAATTTTTTCTTTCAATTGAAACCGTAATTCAGAAGTAAAGTCTGAGCAGTTACGAGTACTTTGTGTATCTGCGTAAGCAATTGACCGGAGTGGCAACTATTTCTCATTGTGGCTTGAAAGAAATAATTATTCCACATTTGCTCTCAGTTAGTCAGGATGGGTGTATGTATCTAGTGTTGGGAATATCGTAACTGTTGGGAATAATGCCAATTAATTTTATTCGCAAAGTTGTCTTCTGTCCATCTGTCTCTGATTAATCTACGTATATTTTATTAACAGAAGCACAAATAATCAGTAGCTATGTGAATCGATTGTTGGGTGCCAGGAGGTTTGCTGAAGCGGTCGCATATGTTAGGGGTAACGAAGTTACTTATCGGCAACTTGAAGAGGTAACTCTTGAGAAAGTAATAGTTTTTTGGTGAATTACTTTCAATAAAGAAGTACAATCAGGAAAACACCAATAAACTGACTTATCCTAAGGGATCAGTCATCTCGGAGTATGATCGTCTAGTGTTGTTTCGGTAAGAATCGTATTATTTATATATATTTTTATTTTGTTGCCCTGAAATATTCGCTTATTATTTTATTCATTTAGATTGGCGAAATAATATTTTATACTTTTGCATCTTGTTGAAATGCTTGCCTTCTGGCAATGTCTATTTTCAATTAAGCATTGGTGATAATCCATTCACAGGGAGGTGGTTGGTGGAAGCCGTTTTTATGTGCTGTGCCAAAATCAGGCGGGAGAGCAAAAAGCCTTTCTGGCTGTACCAAGAGATATTCATTGGGAGCTTGGTCGCCTATTCTGAACCGACTATCGGTGGGTCAATCCATAAAATCAAAAGTTCTTAAGGGTATCAGCAGACCGGTCCCCTTACGTACTGCGGCAATGGACAGCAAAAATCAACACCATCATGCCTGAGTTTGAACAACTGCAACCTATTCAACGTTTCACGGTTGAAAGCCACATTCGCATCTCACGACCTAGTGTCATCGCTGCATGCCCAAGTCGCGGGCGTGATTCCCAGCATATGGATCTGTAGCAACCATCCTATCTTTTTGATTCAGTTCGCCAATAAATAGTCTAATTTTTGGTCAACTTGGTTAGATAAATTTTATTCATGTTCAGTTCATCACCAGCTTTGTATCTGTAAACAATAAACTGGATAGCCATATTCAACTAAGCATCTCCCTAACCTCTGTGTATTTCGTTAAAACTTCTGATCGAGCATTAGCTGCCTGATCTTTACACGGGCGACCCCAGATAGAGGTTTAGAGGAAGATGGAGACTAACGGCAGTTGCAATTAACGGGAAAGGAGACTCGTCACCAGCGAACCAAGTGACGAAGATGGCGCAGTTCATGGACGCTGCTGCTGATGGCTGGTTCTTCATCTTGGAATGCTAGTTCAAGCTACGCCGGCATCACCTCACACTCCACAAAGTTCTACCGCGTCATCTCTGCACTACCACCTGATTTTGTATGTAAATTATCACGTGAATTATTAAGTGAATGCAAATAGTTTATGAAACCAGCAGCTATAGGCTATTACGACAAAACCAAACCAGAACTCTTTGAGAAACAAACTAGCAAAACACCCATGGCTGGGAGACCATCTGTCTATTTAGAGGAAATTACGATCAATCCCAACTAAGGTTTGGTCTCAGTGACGATTTGGTACAGTTCAAATTTAATCAATCCCTGCCTCCTGAGATAGCACCTGTTACTGCAGCCCAACGAGAAATGTCACTCATGCAATTAGGAAGTTTGGCCGACGAACTAATGCCTCTGGTCCGTAACAATCTTGCTAGAACTGCATCAATTGGAGCTGTGTGAGCCAACAAAACAGAAGCTTTATCCTCAACAAGAAACTTCTACTCTTTAACAACTCGATCCCGTACGGTTTACGTCCCTTTCAGCAAAGACCAGATGCCACTAGTGTGCAAATCCCACATTTACTTCGCTGGAAATGCTAGGAGTTGCAAACCCTGGTGCCAATGGGACGCCTGTCGGAGACCACCACTGCGGATGATCGAATGGACTATCATGATCCCTTCGCTCAAAAACGTAGCATTATAACACTTTTTCACTAAAACATTATCAGCCGCAAGCCACCAGACATATCACATCCATTGAATTAGATCAATCAGCCCACAGGAAAGTAGCCTGACGTAGAATGGCCCAGCATAGTCCGCGAATGCGCGAAAATTTTTTATATCGTCCGGACGGAGCGCGCCGGAGCCGTCCGTATCTGTCCCGTGTATGGCATCAGCCTACGGTCGAACGGCCACGCGTCGTACGACGATAAATTTTGGAACAGAACTATGCTATCTGAAACCTAACCCCAAATATTGTGAGCTAAAAGTTACGTAATTTAGCGAAGCTGCGGAAGTCGCTCCTCGAACGACTGTAGATTTTGGAACAGAGCTATACTTACTGCAACCTAACCCCGGATGTTGTGAGCTAAAAGTAACCGTCTGGTGGTGCACGGCAGGATGCATACAGTTCCACTGGTGAACTGGACTGGTTTGTCGCAGTCCGTTGTCCGCTAGTTACAGTTCGAGCTTAAGTCAGGGTATGAAGTGATGATTCGATGCAACGTTCAGTGGTGGACAACCATTACCCTCGGGGCTATTCGCTTCAGAATGTAGTGGCGTAAAGCTCCTACTATTTAAAGCAGGATGATGTCGCGGGCTGGTTACCGACGGATGGCTTAATCCGCGGCTGATTGGTGGTCCTCCGGAAATATGCTAGGCGTTCCTTTCAAGGCTGGTTGGTGCACAAATTTGGTGGTGCACGGCTGCGTACCCCCAAAAAAGGAAACTAGCAAGGTGGGTCGCCACAGTCACCTCCGGCCCGCCGCATCTGGAAGTTGCTGCTCAACTCGGGGCGATGAAACTAAAGTTTGTTGTAGACACCGGCGCCGGTCTCTATGCCTCATAAGTTTGCGGAAGGAACTCCCTTGCACCCGACTGCAGTCCGGCTGCACTCAGTTGCTGGGGATGAAATTAGCACTCTCATTGAAGCAACAGTGGACATTGTTACCCTAAAACTTCGCCGCTCTTTCTCATGGGCCATTGTTGTTGCAGACACTCTAAATCCCCTAATCGGATGGGACTTCCTTAATCATTTCAACTTGCTGGTAGATTGAGGTGTCAATAAATTAACAGACCGAAGAGCAGGCACGCAAACTAGAGCCTACAGACTACCGAGCGGCCCTGTGCAGCACGTAGTCATCAACGATACCTCGATTCTTTCAGAACAAGTACAACACCTGCGGAGGAAATATCCTTCACTCCTTTCAACAAAGACCACCAACTCGACTCAGCCTGGCTCGATCTCTCACCGCATCAATACCGGAAGCGCTGCGCCCACATTTTGCATAACCGCGACAACTGTCGAATGAGAGGTATGCAGCTGCTAAAACGAAGTATCATTATCTACTTTCATCTGGCAATGTAAGACTGTCCAACTCGCCGTGGTCCAGCCCTATTCACCTCGTGCCTAAAGCGGATCCAGGCCAACACGGGGCAGGGTGGCCCAGTGGTTAAAGTTCAGACTTCAGAGTACCGAGATTGGCGCAGAGAGGCGCGGGTTCGATCCCAGCTCTGTGAGCCAGTTTCTGGTCAGAATCGGCAAGGAGGCTGGACGGTTAAGAATTGTAGCAGCGAGTTGCGAGTTCGAGACCGCAAAATGCTATGAATGTTCTGCGATGTTTGAGAATCGGCGACAGGCCTACGGCCTAATAACGCTGAAACCGCTATTATTTTTTTCGGCAACAGGCCATGGGCCTATTTCTTCAACGCCGACACTTCTATTCTATTGTAATGCAGGATCTGTGGTGACTACCGGTCCCTCAACGTGCTGATCGTGCTCGACAGGTACCCAGTATCACATATCCACAGTATTTCAAACAAACTAGAAGGTAAATCTATTTTTTGCAAAATAGACTCGATTCAGGCCTACCATCAAATTCCCATGCGCCCTGATGATATTTACAAAGCCGCTGTAACCACACCTTTCGACAAATATGAGTACCTAAAAATGCCTTTTGGACTGAGGTATGCTGGTGCCACAATTCAACGCTAAACGGACAGTTTGTTCATTCAACGTGATTTTGTTTTTATGTATTTAGACGACATCTTGTATTTTCTTCCAGCCCTGAGCAAGTGCAACATTATACAAATTTAAAATACGTTCTCAAAATTCTTGCACACACAATTGGATTTCCTGGGTTACTCTATCAATTCCGATGGCTTAAAAGCCAACCGACAACAAATTGAAAGAAATTGATAAATTTGCAATTGATGCCAAACGATTCAGAGTCTCTGAGACGATTTCTCGGCATGGTCGGATTTTACCGGCGTCTTATCCCAAATTTTGCCAAATTGGTGTATCCGCTGACTGAACAGACGAAACTTGATAAAAAAAATCATTGTCTCTGTCTGATGTCAAAGAACAGTCAGCTTTTGCTAATATTAAGACAGCGTTATCAAATATTTACCCTCTTGCCTATTCCAAGTTCATCAGAAACCCATTACCAACTGGTCGTCGACAGCACTAGTTATGCTGTAAGTACCACACTCGAAAACAAGGTGAAATAGTTAATTTGAAGTCACCCAGTAATCCGTGGTAAGGAGAACAGTGAAAATTACGACTACAATCTCTATTGTACGAGACGTTCGATTCTATTGACTATTGCACAGCATTAATCCACGTAGTTCAGGAAGCATTAATTCGCATAGGTACGATAGCAGGTAAGACTGGTTAGAGCCAGCACGACTCGAATATTTAGCCAACTAGTGTGACAAACTATTCACGGAAATCAGCTACTGGCTAGTCCGCCTAAGTAGCGATGGGCTGACTGCTCAGGGTCGCGTTCAGCTTACAACTCTCGTTGAATCTCGTTGAATTTTTAGCACCAGCCTTCTTGGGCATCTGGTGCTTTGGTCAGAGCTTGTGGTATTGTTCTTTAGAGCTTGTCGATGATGTCCGTCTTTGACAGAAAGGTAACTAGTTTCTCAGCTGGAAAATCATCTCTTAGTAGGGTTGTACCACAAACCCGGACGGCGTCTTTACCGCTGGAAATTACTGATGAATTTTGCGAAGTTGAGCTGACTTGCAGAATCCAGTTGAAGAAAAATGAAAACGTTCTGAATGAGTCTGTTGCTTCCGAGCTGGAAGAAACGTTCTCCCGTGCTGAATCGTCTCTGTTTGCTGCTTGTCGTCAAAAGCCTTTTAAAGTCCCAAGAGCTTTAGCTGGAGCTATCGATGAAGGTGCTTTTCTATTGAAATATATGACTAACGAAAAACCTCAAATGATGAATGCGTTTACTTAGCAAAATGCGTTTATTTATCAACAATATATGAACTTTATGATACGTAACTTTTGAATATTTCACAGTCTTATCCAAACCAATCGTCGAATCTTTGAACATCATCACCGAAGACGTCTTGGACGCTCAGGCTGCGGAGCACGATGAAAGTTCTTCGTTGATCAGTACTTGTTGCGAAGAGACTCAAGTTCTTGAAGAAGAGACCCAAGTTCTTACTAAATCTTCAGATGATGGTGAATTATTTATTGTGCCTAAAGACATTTTACATTATTTAAATTCGATGGTACCAGGATATTTCGATTAAATACATTTTATCAAACTTGTTTTACATGAAAAAATAACAGCAAATCTGATGCAATTAATTAGATATTAAAACGAGATTGAAATTTCATGCCACAGTGCGAAACTATCCTTTTTGTTATTTCGCAGATGCTGCAGTAACTCCATTGGACAACACTTCGAAAGTGAGCAGTAGTGAAGTAATGCTTTGGCTCACACTATTTGGACTTGCATTACTAGCGTCTACGATAGTTGGTTTGATAATTACCTTAACATTCTTTGGGTGCAGATTTCTCTTTAATGTTTCGCAACATAACAACACACGTTCCGTAAAAAATAAAAATCGGAACGATAGTGCTTGTGATCATATTCTCAACTACCAAGAACCATTGTCAAAGTCATCAGTTGCGGAGGTTCATGGGCATCTCCTCCCGTACCCCAGTCGTCCACCCCCGAGCTTACCACGCGAATATAAAGATCTGCTAACACCTGAAAAGAGGGCGTCACTCGCTGGACACCACTACGATTATCCGAGTTTGTCTGCAGTTACACTCATGCCGGCTTCGCAATACCCACGTGCGTGTAAATTTGATGGTTATATGATTCCCAAATCTGCCTGCGGGCAAATGGTATAAAGAATTAAAAACTTACACACCAGATAGAGCATCCGTAATTGATTTTTCAGGCTTGCAGTCACACAAACAACAGGCAAATCGTAAGGCACTTCCTGCATGCAAGGCAGTTGGTAAAGTGCAGATAATAAAATATTTAAACACATTCTTAAGTTGTATTTTGTACATTCATGTTCCTCGTTATGAAAATAAGAGCTTTGATTTGTTTTTCTTCTGAATTTAATTTAGCTGATAATTAGTACAGGCTTTATATCGTTCAAACACAGCGATTTAACGTTGTAACAACTACATTTTAACCATTGGAAGAAACGTTTTTTCTGTGTTTACATTTCTAGAGTAATATCTGAGCAAATATACAATTGATTATTTTTGTTAATACAAGTTTTCCATTCAACTGATTCGACTTTTTATATGGTTTCTGTCCCGTTAATTAGAGATTCTATATTTTTTCAATAGATTTAATTGTGTAAATTTATATATGAAGACATATTGAATTTAGCTCGTCTATGAATATTGTGAAGTCCGTTACTTTAAACTGCTAACCCCTACAATGTCGGGAGTATTTTGGGAAGTGGGTCTCTTGCTTTGAGGTTAGCAATATATAGAGGGTAGTAATGTGAATAAGTTGCCTGAGACGACAGCTTGCTTGCTCATTATTGCACAGTTTTATTACAGTTTTTTGGTTCTCCTGAAAAATTTAAATTTTGCATCTTATATGTAGTTCTCCTCCTATGATTTCCAAGCTACAGCTATGAGAAATATACCTTCAAATTTAATAAAAAAATTCTAAAATCCATCCGATAATTTTTCTTATTTCGTTATAGTTTGAATTATATATTGGAAAATTGGGAGGGGGGCGAAAATTGAAAAATTTCGGAAAAGCCCTCTTCCCACCCGAACAAATTAGAAATTGGAAAAAAATGGACGGGATGGTTTCTAGATATGTTCTTTAAAAATCGAAAAATATGTCTCTCAATGCTGTATAGAACGTTTATAAAATGATGAGATACATTTTTAAAGTAGCTACCTAATTTTTGCCGTTTTCTATTAATTTCACGTTTTCTTTTATTTTTTTCGAAAAAGTTACATGAACAAAAATGTCGTAGATTTTTTTTTAAATATGTGTACCAAGCTTCCAAGCGATCCGTCCGTAAATAAAAAAGCTAAAAAAGCCTTGGTGACCGAAGCGATCCCCCCTTAAAAGCGAGCGAAAATTTATTTTAGAATTTTGATTCATGTGTTTTGATTCGTATTAAAATTCATCTTTGCTTCCGTCAATTCACAAAAAGCAGCTTGTAGCGGAGCGTAGCCACGCTTCTACCTTAATTAACACACCTACTACAACACAATTATAACTGGATTGTGCCGAGCTTTCATTGTTACTTAGTCAATTTGTAAATTTTATTAACACTGAAAGGATACCAGCCACTCCTAATAACAAGTGTGGCGATATTATAGAAGGTTGACAAATCAATACAAAAAAAATTATACTCGTTATTTCGGAAATTTGCAATTTTCCAGGTTTAGGTATCAGTGATCATATATTGACCAGTCATAGTATTTCATGATATTTCAAGTCCACTTATTATTATCATTATAGTATAAATGTCAAAATAATGCTTCCATGCAGGAGTTCATATTTTGTTCAAATCTAGCACCGTTCTCCGCTCTTACATGGAATGCTCAATACTTGCCATGCATCACAAATTGCGTATTACTTTAAATTACGGAGTCATTTCTGACTTAAGTTCGGAGAACCTTCGTCGGTTCCTAAAACCTACATTGGCTGCTTTATTAATTTAAAACCTTAAAACTAAATGAAATCATGGAGTTCACTATTTTTATTTATTACAATTATTTTATGACAATGATGATTAATAAATTCGTAAGTTATTTTCAGATTGTTGAGTGTTAATTTTCCTCAGAATATAAATATTTACATTGAAATTTATACGTTTCCGTTGCATTTCTGAACGGAACTTGGAGTTCCGTGCTGTATGTGGGCTTGAAAGTCCATTTCTGTAATGACCACAATTAATTCTAAAATTATCAACTGGGTTGACGCGTTGACGATGGCGGTATACGGGATAGCAGGAATTTTAAATGCAGGGAGAATCTATGGCGAGCAACGCTGACCTAACCTGCTAAATATATTATATATCACGAGTTTCTTCAATTCATTATATAAGTCCCAATATGGTTTACGATCCCGTAAGGCAAGGCACTTATATATCTGAAAAGTTTATTGCTCAAGTTTATTGTCCCCGAATGATCAGTGAAGTTAAGTGCCAGAATTAGCTATTTTTCGGAAGAATGCAATCGTGTTATCAGTTGACCCAGACTCCAACTTTGGTCTGCTTTAACACAAGTCTGTTGTGTAACGAATAGACGATAGAGATTATTGCAATGTACAAAAAATAGTAAATTAATTAGATTCATGCATCTAATCTGTTTAAGCGTTGAGAGATTTTCTAGTTGCGTAAAATGATTTTTCATAATCATAGTTTTATTTTTCCAAAGTACGTCAGGCATTTATATTCATGAACATTTAACTAAACAATTATAGTATGAGAGTTTGTTAAATAATTTAAATTTCCTCGGTATTTAATAAAGGATTTGTGTTATCACACTATGATGCATGCTAATAAACTGATATATTACTTGAGTGAATAAAACAATCGCAGATATTGCATCTTTGGAAACAAAATATAATAACGGTGAAGTATTTCATCAAACGACGTTTATTTGCAATTAAATAATATCTGTGGAGAGCAAGGTAAATGATAAATATCTACGTAAAAACATAAATAGTGAAAATGATGTGTGACTCAATCCCATCTTTGCCTGTCGTGAGTAGGCCGAGGTCACTTCAAAGTAACCGAATTTTGGTCGACGCGCTCATCAACTTTAAATCGCGTACCGGGTCTTTGATTTTTATACCAGGGGCCCCAATATTACATTAAAATTTATATGTTCCATTGCATCTCCGAAACAAACTTGGTGGGATTATATGCCGCGCCAGTGGCAGCGGTAGTAATGCTACAGGCAGGCAGCAAATGAAATAATTGTTGTTTTCACAGGATTCGGTGTTGATTTCTCAGCAACGTCACAACTCTCGTCATTCTCATTGCCATCCTCAACCTTCGTCATCCTCAGAAGAATAATCTGCAATAAGCAATTGTCTAAAAAACGTTGCAACCCCTTCTAAGACGTGACCACATACATACAGCGGCGTAGCCGACTTGTCAGTCCAGTCGCGCCTTCGTCATCACTTGTGTTGCTGAAGTCGGCTTAAACGGTCACGGTTCCGCTCGCTTCCATAGATTTAGTATTAATTCACCTTAGAGAATTAATATGCATATAACTATATCTATAATGGAAGCACCACGATACCTTTTGATCGTGACAAATAGTATCCATCTATCGTGGATACTATTTGATCGTGCACCACGATACTATTTGATCGTTGATTTGATTCGTGATAAATGGAAATAGACCAATTTGATCGTGACGATTCATATGGTTCTATCCATTTACAGCCAAACGGCAACCTGTTCACGTATTTTCAATCATACCTATCCATATTCAAGCTTTACTTTTCACATTTGAGCCACGGATTTGGCGGCATGATACTTTTCTTAAATCATTGTGCCAGTTGTTTTAATGAAATTTGGTTAGTTTCGCTTGTATATCATAGCATCATTCAGATTTAGGCTTGGCTAGAGATTAGTAACCTGATATTTTATTTTCAGTTCCGGTATTTATTATGGTGGCCAGTATGACTAATTCTGATAAAGTGTAACCTTATTTAACGAACATCCAACAAGATTTGTAGGAGTCCCGCGCTCTCATCATAGCTCCATCTTAAATTGCTGTACTGTATGAACGCGGAAATATTCTAGGCAATGTGCACTTAAATTGTGATAAAAATGATCTTGAATTAATAAACATCTCTTTTGAACGGAAAACTGAATACGTGAACAGGTTGCTGATTGTAAATTCCGAAATAACGGATTTAAATAACTCTTAACCCTGCTTTAAATAACTCTTAACCAAGTTTCAACAGTGGTCGAGAGCGGACGCTCGTGTTTTGCGGTCCCAGATTTTCAACTTGTAACTTTTACTGTGCCGTTTTCGGAACTCTTTTTGCATTTTTTTATGTTCCGTGTCAGTGAATGACTGAATTTTCAGTGAAGTCAGTAAAAGAGAGTGCAAATAGAAAAAAAAGCCTATAGTAAAAGTGTTAGTTCCATCTGAAATAACGCGATCTAGAGTCAGCGAGGGTCGTCAAGCGAGGGCAACGAGCACTGCCCCGCCAGCGTAGAACAATAGAGCCCTTGTTTTACAGCCAGGCTTACCTCCCCTACCCTGAACACCTTTTCAGCCGTTGACTAAAAGTCACTTACTCTCAAGTCTGTAACCGAGTTTTACAGCACTTTGGAAACTTTACAAATTTTACTCAACTTGATTCAGTTTTAGCTTGTGCTTTTTTTTAGCTCTTGCATTTCATGATGGCTGGTCAGAGAGGAAAAAATCAAATGAGAAGGCCTCCAGTCCTGTTAAACCGAATTCGAAGATCAAATTGCAAAATGAGCGAGGAGAAATTTGTAAATTTTGCAAGCTGGGATCGCTTAACGTCAATGACGCTACAGTGGCCTGTGATCGTTGCGGGGATACCATCTGCAACATTTGTGCAAAGTTAAGCATCTGGGATGCCTCTCACCCACAGCACAGTGATGGGACAAACATCAGCATCCACTGGTCTATGATAGCTGATGCACTCAATATTTCAGCTAATAACAGTAATAATACATTCTTTTATTAAACAAAGAGAATAGAAGTGAACGAACTTAGCACTCAAAGCACTAGGATATTCTTATTGTTTATTTAGAGCATATGATACTGCCAAGCAACTTTTCCTGCATCTGATACGAAATAATTTGTGAATTTTTCCCGAACATCTGTTGCAATTCTACAACTGTTTCTATGAACAGGAGCAATTATAGTTTCAGGTTGATCATTTGATGCATTCAATTCCATTGATATGCCGTGTCTTTATCAAATTTTTATCTAACAAGTAACAAGAATCACGTTGCGCAAAACCGTAATTGCTTTAGTTATTTCTGCAGCATTATCCATGCTGGTCTCGATGGATTTCGTTAAAAATCTGAATTTTGAAGTCATAATGCCAAAGGTGCATTCTACACAACGCCGAGCTCTTGATAGTCTGTAGTTATATATTTACTTGCTTTCATGCTTTCATCTATGTATTGGCGGGAGCATGGTCTCATTAAGTTAGGAAGCAATGGGTAAGCTGCATCGCCTTGCAACACAAGTGGCGTTTTATCATGACTCATACATAACCTCATGCATCATATAAGGTGTGCATCATATATAACCTCATCTGAACGGATTCCGAAAAAAGACAAAATAAAGTATATATGAGATTTTTAAATTTATCTTTTCTTTCCCTATAAAACTTTCATCAAGGAGAACGGCTGTTAGTCTCTCGCAGACACTCATTTCTACACACTGACTCGCAGTAAGCTGCGCGGTTCAGCGTCTAGTTTGGACACCATACGCGCGGCGCGGCGCCGCTCTGCTTGAAGCGTCAGCCAGCGTACGCGTGAACGCTTTTAGTCTGGCCGTAGCCTTAAGGTCTGTGACTCGTACCAAACCCCCTGTGGTTCGGCTAAGGCGTGTAAGTCAGAGACCAGACTGCGCTAGCGTCTTACAATTGTGTTTCGTATTGGGGAATGAAACACAGTAGGAGTTCTCCTCATTTACTGGAACTTGGTCTGGAGACCAGGTTACGCGCTGTATTACAGATTTGTAAATGATTATGACTACAGGAGTTACTTTATATTGCAATGTCTTAGGTCAGTGCTAATAATATGGATTTGTAGCTAAATCATATTTAACAAAATATCAACTGCAGTTTCTAATTGATAATGATGCTAAAGGCAATAACATGATAATAATGTTGAGTTAGAGTTGATGGGTAACTCTGCTAGAATTCACTTAGGCTAGCAACGTTCCTAGAAAATGAGCTGCGGGGGTAACTGGAGGAAATATATAAACATGGTCACTGCAGACTTTAAATCCTCCAAAACACTGCACGAACAATGCGACATTCCAACAATAAACACAGTCCTCCACCATCAAGCACGCAAACCCCTGTCCACCATAAAAACATATGATCTTCGACTCTTCATCCAACTCGCATTCCCTCGAGACGTCATGGCATGGCAGCATCGGCTATTTAAAAGCTCCAAATTGCATGCACTAGGTACTCTACCTCCACCCCTGTAGAAATAATACACAGCAGACCATGCTGCACCAGGACGGAGTTGTTTTAATCACGTTTGGGTGTAGGCGGTCCCAAAACAACACACACCGTCAAAGATACAAGCACACTGACAGACCGACGTGATTTACCGATACCGATAGTGACTTACAGTAAAGACGTGACCGAAACCCTAGACCATGAATACCAACTAACCAACCCTCTACCTTCTTCCAAGTCTCGAGCGACTCACCAACCTCCTTCATCTTCATCACCATCAGTCATCATTGGCATCATCACCCCCCCCCCTTATTCACCATATTCATCAAGCAAATACAAAAATAAATATGAAATTAAAAATAAAAAAGCGAGAACGTATTTATATATATATATATATAGAACCACCACCCTAACAAAGCCTTGACGGCTTTCCAAACCCTTCCCCAACCCCAAACAACCCCAACCACTTGTAATCGACCAAATCATGCGCAATGCGACTTTCCATCTTCTAATGTCTTTTCCATTTCTCCTTCCACTTTCTGGACACTCTGCGTCACCTGTTGTTCTCTTCCACTCTTTCCTAGTGGCACTGCAACAAAATATAGAATTTCGTGTATCGACTTGACATTTGTACGAGAGTGAGTAGGGTCAATTCGTGACTCCCAGCCGAATCGCCTTGAGCGTTCGTTTGTTTTTTCGTTTAATGTCATGTTGATTGATGTCAAAATTTTATATATTTCAAATAAAAAAGTTCCTGTGATGTCCACCACAATCGTAATATTTTCCGTATTCTAAATGTATATCGATGATATACAACTTTTTCCGCGCTGAGCAGACGAGCTCAAGGCGCCGCTCATCGAGGAGGTCCAAGACACGGCCACGTGTGATGCCCCGGACCTGGAGGAGCACCTCCAGCTGTGCTGGTACCACGGCACCGAGAGGCTCTTGTGTCAGGTACTGCCGTCTGATGAGGCTGGTACTATTTATTAGCCGAGGACTTCGGTGTCAGATGCTGTCGTCTGGAGAGACTGGTAGTATTTCTTAGCCGAGGACTTCTATGTCAAATACTATCGTCTGAAGAGACTGGTACTTTTTCTTGGTCGAGGATTTCTGTGTCAGGTACTGTCGACTGAAGAGACTGGTACTTTTTCTTAGCCGAGGACTTCTGTGCTAGGTACTGCCGACTGAAGAGACTGGTACTTTTTCTCAGCCGAAGACTTTTGTGTTAGGTACTGTCGTATGAAGAGACTGGTCCTTTTTCTTAGTCGAGGACTTCTGTGCCAGGTACTGCCGGCTGAAGAGACTGGTACTTTTTCCTAGACGAGGACTTCTGTGCCAGGTACTGTCGGCTGAAGAGACTGATACTTTTTGTTAGCCGAGGATTTCTGTGTCAGGAACTGTTGACTGAAGAGGCTGATACTTTTTCTTAGCCGGAGACTTTCTTGTCAGGTACTAGGTATGCTATTCAAAAACATAAGTGAGGTAATAATTAAATTGAACACTATTATCAAAGTCAATGCGTTCGATCGGTTTACAATACGCTTATTAATTAGACGTTCGAAACATCCACCGAGGAGATGACTGACATTGATATACATTTTCTTCTAAATCCTGAAATTCCAATTTCGATGGATTGGTAGCCTTACATAACTAATGTAGATTATGGTAAGTAAAAGCCTGCATATGGTATTTTGCAAAGTATAAATGTCCATGCTAGTAAATCAGGCATCATTCAGGTAAAAATTTTCCTACCGCACGTGTTATAATAGCTTATTGATTTCTACTTATTTTGTTTTTCTAAATTTTAGCTCCCTAATAAATCCCTACTTCATTCATCTGGAATAATTTTCGTAAAAAACTCCCTTAGCACCCATTAAATAATATTTTTCTCCCGAATATTTCAAGCGATGCTCTAGTTCAACTGAACTGATATTCAGTGTAATCATGTCTTCCCTCGCTCGTAGGATAATCAAACTGAGTTGATCACGAGGCCACAAACCCGGACGGCGTCTTTACCGCTGGAAATTACTGATGAATTTTGCGAAGTTGAGCTGACTTGCAGAATCCAGTTGAAGAAAAATGAAAACGTTCTGAATGAGTCTGTTGCTTCCGTGCTGGAAGAAACGTTCTCCCGTGCTCAATCGTCTATATTTGCTGCTTGTCGTCAAAAGCCTTTTAAAGTACCACGAGCTTTAGCTGGAGCTATCGATGAAGGTGCTTTTCTATTGAAATATATGACTAACGAAAAACCTTATATGATGAATGCGTTTATTTAGCAACATGCGTTTATTTATCAACAATATATGAACTTTATGATATGTAAATTTTGAATATTTCAGTCTTATCCAAACCAATCGTCGAATCTTTGAACATCATCACCGAAGATGTCTTGGACGCTCAGGCTGCGGAGCTCGATGAAAGTTCTTCGTTGATCAGTACTTGTTGCGAAGAGACTCAAGTTCTTGAAGAAGAGACCCAAGTTCTTATTAAATCTTCAGATGATGGTGAATTATTTATTGTGCCTAAAGACATTTTACATTATTTAAATTTGATGGTACCAGGATATTTCGATTAAATACATTTATCAAACTTGTTTTACATGAAAAAATAACAGCAAATCTGATACAATTAATTAGATATTGAAACAAGATTGAAATTTCATGCCACAGTGCGAAACTATCCTTTTTGTTATTTCTCAGATGCTGCAGTAACTCCATTGGAAACCACTTCGAAAGTGAGCAGTAGTGAAGTAATGCTTTGGCTCACACTATTTGGGCTTGCATTACTAGCGTCTGCGATCGTTGGTTTGATAATTACCTTAACATTCTTTGGGTGCAGATTTCTCTTTAATGTTTCGCAACATAACAACACACGTTCCGTAAAAAATAAAAATCGAAACGATAGTGCTTGTGATCATATTCTCAGCTTCCAAGAACCATTGTCAAAGTCATCAGTTGCGGAGGTACGTGGGCATCTCCTCCCGTACCCCAGTCGTCCACCCCCGAGCTTACCACGCGAATATGAAGACATACTAACACCTGAAAAGAGGGCGTCACTCGCTGGACACCATTACGATTATCCGAGTTTGTCTGCAGTTACACTCATGCCGACTTCGCAATACCCACGTGCGTGTAACTTTGATGGTTATTTGATACCCAAATCAGCCTGCGGATAAATGGTATAAAGAATGAAAAACTTACACACCGGATAGAGCATCCATAATTGATTTTTCAGGCTTGCAGTCACACAAACAACAAACAAATCGTATATAAGGCACGGCCTGCAAGGCAGTTGGCAAAACGAAGATAAAAATCTTTAAACACATTTCTTTCTAGGTACAAGTTTATTTTGTACATTTATATTCCTCGATATGAAAATAAGAGCTTTGATTTGTTTATCCTCTGAATTTAATTTAGCTGATAATTAGTGCCGGCTTTCTGTCGTTAAAACACAGTGATTTAAAGTTGTAACATATATATTTTAATCATGGGTAGAAATGTTTTTTCTGTGTTTAATTTTCTAGATTAATATCTGAACAAATGAACCATGAAGATATTTTTTTCATACAAGTTTTCAATTCAACTGATTCGACTTTTTATATGGCTTCCGTCCCGTTAATTAAAGATTCTGTATTTTTTCAAGATTCAATTATATATATTTATAAATCAATACTTATTAAATTTAGCTCATCTATGAATATTCTGAAGTCCGTTACTTTAAACTGCAAACCTCTACAATGTTGAGAGTAGTTTGGGAAGTGGGTCTCTTGCTTTGAGGTTAGCAATATATAGAGGGTATATAGTAATGTGAATAAGTTACCTGAGACGACAGCTTGCTCGCTCATCATTGCCAAGGTAATGGTGACTCTATATAAGGAAAACAAAACTTCGATTGTTCATAATACTATCATGCAAGAAGTTTTCTCCTGTGTTAGCGTATAAAAAACTATATAGATACAATTTGTCTCTGAAATTGTTTCTATGTGAGTAGATGAGTTTCAAGAAGGTGCTTGATTTATCAATATTCGATTTGATTTGACTTAATGGTTGTACATATAATAATATCAGCTCTAAGGTTTACTATTTCATTTAGCTATGTAAAATTTATGCATCTTAATTAGCATTTTGCTACATTAATGCATGATATGTCACTTTTATATGGTTCCGATCAATTTTGAAGCTCCTTAAATGAGCAATAATTGAGAATTTAATTTTTTGCGATTTAAGCAAATAAGTGATATAAATTCATGAGCAATAATTGCTTGTAGCAATATCGAAGGCCTTTGTGTCTCATTACGTGCTGGATCAGACCTGTCTTTCTGCAAGAAATTATTGAATTTAGATTCTTCTCTTGCGTATTAAAATTCAACGTTGCTTCAATCAAATTCAGAAAAAGGCAGCGTGTGGAGGAGCGTAACCACGCATCTACCTTAACATACCAACTACAACTCAGTTTTAACTGGGTTGTGCCGAGCTTTCCTGCTTATACTTAGTCAATTTGTAACTCTTACTAACACTGAAAGGAGACCAGCCACTCCTAATAACAAGCGTGGCGATATTATAGAAGGTTGACAAATTAATACAATTAAATTGATTCATGTTACTATCTGAAATTTGCAATTTTTCTGGTTTGAGTATCAGTGATCAAATATTGACCAGTCATAGTATTTCATGATATTTTAAGTCCACTTATTGTTTTCATTGTACTATAAAGGCCAAAATGATGGTGCCAGAAGTTTCTATTTTGTTCAAATCTAGCACCGATCTTTCATGAAATATTCAATACTTGCCCCACTGCACAATAAATTGCGTATTACTTAAAATAACAGTCATTTTCGCTTTCAGGTCGGAAAACCTTCACAGGTTCTTTAAACCTTCATTGGCCGATTAATTAAGTTTTGAAGCCTTGAAACTTAATAAAACGAAGGCGGGTACTATTTTATTCATTACCATTATCTTACGAGAATGATGATTGAAAATCTAAAAGTTATTTTTGAATTGTTGAGTGTTAATTTTCCTCAGAATATAAATATTTACATCAAAATTTGCAGGTTTGCATTAAATTTCCAAACAGGATGCGGAGTTCCGGCTGAATGTGGGCTTGAAAGTCCGCTTCTGTAATCACCATACTTAGTTCTAAGATTATCAACTGGGTTGACGCGTTGATGATGGCGGTATTCGGGATAGCAGGAATCTTGAATGCAGGGAGAATCTATGGTGAGCAACGCTGAGCTAACCTGCTAGTATACATTTGCCAGAGACAAAGGTATTTTTGCACATCAGTGATGTATTCTCGGGGAATTCTCGATGAGGAGACACACCTGGACGTTGCTTGTCTACAATGCAATTGAACGTAATTACAGGCGTTAGTTGTTTCGGTAAATATGTGCTACGACATTTTTTAGATAACACAAACAACAAGCCTATATTTTTTGAAAACTGGTGAAGGGTGACATATCCGCGCATGCATAGTTATTTTCTTAATTGGAGGTGACATTTCCTTGTAAACATAGCTATATTATTGATAACTATTCACCAGTTTTGTATCTAGACCGCATAATTTTGTTCGCTATGTTTGTAGATTAAAAAGCACATTCGAAGAAATTTCAATATGTATGTAACCCACGATTAAAAAATTGAAAAAATTAATAAGTAATTATAATTTCAATGTTTTTTTGGAGAGATTTTGATCCTCATAACACAAAACAATCAATTGTGTACAACTCCAAAATTAGGACTCGAAAAGTTCTTCAGAATAATTTCAAAGTTCTGAAACTTGGGGTAGTTCATCTCTGGCTGGAGTTCTGTCCTTAGAGAAGAGGGCTGCATCTATTGTCAGGGTGCAAGCTTAGGGCACCGCATGAAGAGGCTGGGGCAGGCTTGGGGCACCGCATATGACGATGTTGGTGCAATCGGTATCGGCAGGAATTATATAGAAATAAGTATACTCAATAAGTTAATGCACATATCTGAGCATAGACCAATAACTTCCATAACTCCCAACAAAAAAGCTAGACTGAAAAATTTTGAAGGGTTATTATATTGCATGACTCTAATTAATGTAATCTTGCGAATCTGAAATGCTATTAAACTCCCATTAAAATTGTAAAGAATATTTTTTTCGTTAAGTGCATATGGTGAATAGGTTCGCATCCACTTTCTAACAATTTATTATGTGCCAATATATTTGCGAATTGAATTGTTATGTTGAAATGGATCAAAAAGTAATATTACTGTTGCAGGAATATATCAAAGTTTGCATCCTTAATCTCGGGCATTTGATAAAAACAAAGAGAAAATACTGTTCCGCACTTTGTTAATATTTAAATTTTTCAAGCCATCCTTAACCCAAGTGAATCACACATAATCCTGTCAGAATTGCCTTCATTGTTGGGACGAGCGAGTGTCTTGAAAAGTGTGTACGTCTCTTGACGAGCTTATCTTCGAGCGATAAGCTCATTGCTTGAAAAATATTATCTATTTTGTTCGAGTTAGTATCGCATACATATAAAATAACCGACGATTGTATCAGCTTTAGAAATTTTAATATCTGCCTTGCCTTGAAAATAAAGCATTATCAGTTGGAGGTTTAGATTAGATTTGACTTCAGTTATCACGCAACCTATGAGTTATAGAATAAATCGTTCAGTTAAACACTATAGACATAAGATTTTATTTCCACGATTTTCAGCTAAATTAATTGATCTGGTACAATAATTGCATTGACGCACCCTGCACAGTGATGAGCATGGCTTTGGAAGATGGCACCGTTACAGGTCCAAATCTCTTAGGTCAAAGCCTGACCTTCGTCTGCTCAATCAAAGCTAGGTGAATTTACTGCTGCACCATCAGCCCTGCAGTCGGTTTTTATTTACTGCTGCACCATCAGCCCTTCAGACGTTTATTCATGTACTGCTGCAGCATCAGCCCTGGAGCCGGTTATTCGTTTACTGTCGCACCATCAGCCTTGCAGACGGTTATTCACAATATTTATGTGATCATTGTTTTATAAATTAGGTTATTTGATCATGAAGGACTCGTAATGAATGCATTATTCCATCATAACCAAATTTGGTAATCAATTCAGCTCATGTGAATGTATCATCGCAGTTCATGATCTGTCAAGCGAGCTATCCTGGTCTGACAAGGACACGAGGCGCGAGTTGGGCGATCAGCCGCCGCTGATGCGGGACGACTTCCTCCAGCAGCGACAACTGCGGCTGCCTCACTTCGACGAAGGGGACTGCAGCAAAAAACTCAACCGCAGTTATGGCGGCACCGATCAACTATGGGATTAAAATATAAGACTTAACTTGGATTGTCTTGCTGCCTAATTACGAATAATACTCGCAAAATCCCAATCCGCAATGCAGAAACTCTTGAAAACAAAGTCAACAATAATAGTTCTGAACAACTCGTACCGCACTAGGACTATATGCGAACGTTTGTTAATTTTTCGGAAATCCAAAATCCCCTGAACATATGCGTTTTAGAGATAAAAACGAAACCAAGTAATAGCTGAATTTCAATTCTAATTCTTTGACAATATGTATAAACATTTGATTTATGACTAATTATTTTATTTTTGCTCGAAATGCCCTCATTTCTCTTTCGTATTCGTGCTTAATAAAATCTTTTGTTTCCGTCGTTCATTTCTGCACCGAATGAGTGTTACGACTCTCTTCTGCACCGTATCAGTGTAATACGACTCTCTTCTGCACCGTATGAGTGTAATCCGACTCTCTTCTGCACCGTATGAGTGTCATACTATTCTCTTCTGCACCGTATACGGTTAAAGCAAGCTAAAGGCAAAGAAGGAAGCCTACAAGCGTTATTTACGAACTCGTAGCGATGCTGAGTATAACCTGTATGCAAGAGCTCGAAATCAAGCTAAAAAGCTTGTTGCACCGCAGTCAAACATTTTGAAAAAGACGTTGCCAAAAACTCGAAAAAGAACCCGAAAGCCTTCTTCTTGTATGCTAGTTCGAAGTGTAATACAAGGGACGGTATTGCTGATTTTAATGTAAATCAACGGAAGATATCTTCTGAGGAGGGAAAGGCCAATGTTCTAAATCAGTTCTTTAGCAGCGTCTTCATAGATAAGGACTTGAACAGTATTCCAGCTATTGAGGAGCGACCAGTGGACTCGAAGTTAACTAGTTTTGAGATACATGAAGAGGAGGTTCTCAAGCGCCTGGTCTCCCTGAATCCCAACAAGTCATCTGGATCAGACGGTTTCCCTCATAGATTACTCAACGAATTAGCAACCGTCCTGGCCGGCCCTTTAACAGTATTCTTTCGAAAAACCTTAAGGTGGTGCTTGAGAGCCGCGAGCTCTCAGGCAGGCTTGGCTGAATCCCTATGAGAATCTATCACTACCTATAGTCATTATAACTCCGCTCGTAAATGAAATATCAATCTGAATTTTGCCATGCTCATTCAGCTATTTATTTACAATTTCTCTACTGTAACAAAA